GCCCAAAACCGTCTCATCATGGGTGCTCCACGACCTTAAAGCTCCTGGAGACACTGTGTGCTCACTTCAGTGGGCAGCAACAGTTTGCTAAGCATCCTGTGGTTGGCAACTTCCTCCATGAGCCCCTCGTCCGGGACAAAGCAGGCAGAGAGGTGGGGATTGTGCTCTTCTCAGATCAGAGACCACCTGCTGCACCGGACCTCAGCCTGTGGGGCTGGAGCTCAGATGGTGACAGGTCAACAGATCGGACCTGCTGTGATCCGGCCCAAACAACTGGCCCCAAGGGACGTGTATGTAGTACCACTACCACTACTACCACTACATACACATGCACTCATTAAAGACATTCTAACTCGCTTCCCTGTGTCCCAGCGTTCCACATCTGCTGAGGATTAGCCTGCTGTGTTAGGGCGTCCTGACATCCACAGAAGGGATTCTGAGACCTGTCCCCACGCTGCCAGCCCTCTGCTGCCCACTGTCTGCTGGAGCGGCCAGGCCTGCTAACACTGAGGGCCTCTGTTAGACACAGTGAGCTGAGGAAATCCACTCTGAGCATTACGCTCAGGCTTCCTTTAGTGTTTTCCCATCTGGACACAGATCTATGTGGACCTGCCCACAGCTTCCTACAAACAACAGCTCCTCTTAGCCCAGTCTGTCGGTGTCTGCTTTGGGACCCGTCCGGTCTTACTCGGCCTAAGGCTGCCACACATGGAGAAATCCACCATCTGAGCTGAAGCTTCAGAGTAGACAGAAACACAGCATTTATGGCTGTTTGCAGAGCTAAAAAAGGGGTTGAATGTCAAATGCGTGAATGCTGGATCCACTGGTGTGTGTGGTGCTTCAGATAAGCCTGGTCGGTAATAGCTGTGAGGAGGATATGAAAGGGGAGACGTGGGGGAATTTTCCTTTCTGTACTGGTCACAAGTTGTAAATTGATTTCATTTAGCATGTTCTTCTGATCTGTAAACCTAACAAAGCCATGTTATTTGCTGAATACAACCAGAGGGTTAAATTGGTGTCACAGAAATCATAGCTAAATATTATTCAGAAATGCAATGACCAAACCAGTCTGGAAGCTAAGGGCTGTCCCGGTGCAG